TCCAATCACCACTGTAGATCACCATTTCTAAGAACCCAGAAATGTGAAAACGGTCCATTGTATGGACAACTGAGACATTTCTAAAAATGTTCTACAGAAGCCAATAAGTCCAACGGGTTTGGAATGACATGAGGGTGAATAAAGTTTATTTTTAGATGAAATATCCTTTCAACATCAGAATGAACTATTTAGTTTCTTAATACATATTCCAGATATCATTGTGCATGATTCATCAGCGCATGTTATTCCAAAGAAAAAAATGTTTGTCTTCATCAAAAAATGTAATATCTTGATAAATGTCTTTTTGGCTGATGTTAAGTAGACTGTTCAGGATGTTAATATTAATTAGCCATTTAAACATTTTCTTATTGAATTGTTAGGGCAGTAATATAATGCCAGTTAAAGTTTGTTTTAAAAAGGTTACAACAATAATACAAATTGCAGAGTGTTGCAGTTGGGATCCAACCCATCCAACTTTTTTTTTTTTACAGTAAATATCCTATTTATTAAAAAATGTCACATTACATGCACAGTTTCATGTTAACTTTAACCCTAAACCACAGGAGTCAACCAATGCATGCCATTCAATTCATAATTCAACTTTATATCTCCAATGTGACCAGAAGCATTGTCAGTTCATGTATTTCTTTTTTATAGAAAGTTCTCATTGGAAAGTGTACTTGAGCAAGAAACACATCTGATATGGACCTACAGTGTATGTTTAAGGACATCATGCTCTTGGTGGAACAGGTTTGATGTTTTTTTTTTCTCAGTAACTGATCAGTGAGCCGTTGGCACTCTTGCGGTGAAGGTTTTTCACTTTAGTGCTATACGTGCACATCATAGTGTGATATTACTCGTGTTATGCACCCGGAGGGCTGAAGTTATGCTAGAATCTAACATGACTGAAATCTTATTTTTGTATTTTGAATAGCATGTACAAATTATTTAATTTCAAGACTGTTTTAGTCTAGACAGACATTATTTATACATTATACTATTATAATGTTTTTGGAGCTGTTTTTTTTTCTTTCTTTGACTGCTTACTTTTTACTGTATGTGAATATGAATTAGTATATTATAATAATCAGGTATTGGGGAGATGTCCAGAGACATGCATCGAATAAGACATCCCCCTGCTCTGCGATGATGAATGCTGATAAACCATGTACAGCGTCATGCTAAAATATTCAGACTTTTGACCAACTCTATTTAACTGTATTATACTGTAAATATGAAATTGATGTATTTAGAGGTAATTTTTAATTTGACATGGTTTTATGTTGGAGAATATATATAAAAAGTGGTGAAGGGGCGAAAATGAAATAAACATTAGCAAAAATAATCAGTTTGAGAATATTTAACAATATGGTATTTATATTAAAAAAATGTTCAACAAAAAGATTACTGTCCTAAGGTCACTATTTTAACATTTCTGAGTGATGCTGTCAGCTTCCAAAATATTAAACTGCAGGGGCTGAATGGAACAAAACAATGTCACATTTTAGGAGATTTGTTTCAGTGCTTTTAAATGAAACCTCACAAAGGACACAATTGCAAAGTGGGACTTTGTAATCCAGACAGAATTGGTCAACGCCTGATTACTTTTGGCAAGGTGCTGTAAATGCTTATGTATCCACTTGAATGAAATACATGCTCCTCTTGTATGATTCTTATCACTTTCTACTTTTCCTTGGAAATGTGTGAACATACAATGAAGATAAAAAGTAGTTCTGACAGCCAGAAACTGAACTCAAGGGAATGCCGAATATGCAGATTCAATAAAGCTGAATAACCCTGGTGTTGTCTTTGATTTCTTGCCATTTCTCAACAAGATATAAATGTAGATATGTGCTCTACTCTTTCCTGGCTGCAGCTCTACTGTAGGATGTACAGTAAAGTAATGGCCCAGATTTTTGGCAGTAACAAAAATATACCTTAAAATACTATACAATGTTCTCCTGGGGGACATTTGTAATGTCAACACCATCGTACAATAGTTTTGTCAAACTGGCACTATGATGTATTGCATGGTACAGTGATTTATGTACCATGGTATATATATATTAGAATGCTTTTTGAAGGATCATGTGACCCTAAAGACTGAAGTAGAGGCTAAAAGAAATAGATTTTAAAATATATTCAAATAGAGAAATGACTTTAACTAGTAAAAAATATTTTGCACTATTTCTAACTCAATTCTTCATCAAATAAAGATTTGGAGAGCATAAGAGACTTTTTTTTTCATGGTACATGAGTCGTGTTGCATGGTATTTTCCTTAGTACTGTATCCACTCAACAAACGGACAGACTTTACCAGGGCTGATAATAATTGATTCATATTGAATCGTTAATTACTTAATTGCTAATTGTAATGGTGTTTTAGACTTTGCCATTTCTTAGCAAATGCAAGTCATGTTGCCTACGAAAACCTTTTTCGTGTGCCCTTGGAAGTGCTGACTAATAGCTGTCAGGTTAAACTTCAGAATACTGTCCAAAGAACGCATCCAATTTCCCTCCATCGTTTGAAATAATGCTGTTGATGACAAGAGCTGCCTATAAATTAGATTGTTTGGGTAAATTCAGATAAATGTGGTGACTTCTGCACTGCATTTCAATGACATTCCTGATTAAAATATAAGTGTGGTCACTGATATGAGTGTAGAACAGTTTAATGCATGTGAAGTGTGCTTTAATGTACACAGTGGTTCTCAACTTTCAATTTGGGCTCATGATTTTACATTACACGTCAAGTGGTGGCCCAGTTACCTTAGAAAGGTAAACAAAAATGTCCTTTGAGATATATATATATATATGCATTTCAATGACATTCCTGATTAAAATATAAGTGTGGTCACTGATATGAGTGTAGAACAGTTTAATGCATGTGAAGTGTGCTTTAATGTACACAGTGGTTCTCAACTTTCAATTTGGGCTCATGATTTTACATTACACGTCAAGTGGTGGCCCAGTACAATAGTAAAATTGTTTATCTTAGAAAGGTAAACAAAAATGTCCT